CTCATTAAGGGAAGAGATGGCTTCTAGAAGGACCAATGGAATAGAAATGCAAATTCAATATCAGGAGCTTCCAGAATTCAACACCTCAGTAAATCGGGATATTTGGTGAGAGGACAGTTAGATTTATGTGAAATAACATCAAAGTAAGGAAATCAAATGACGTGAATGTTAGAGTATAAAGAAAAGTGCAAATTTCAATTATGCTCAAATGGTGCCACACTTACTTTGTACTCTCCCAAGCACGCAAGTTTGTCATTGTAAAGGTGGATGGCTGAATAATGAGCATCCACAGTTCCAGAAACCAGAAGATAGCTAAAATTGCGCCAGAACACTTTCCCGTGAATTCATATTAATGACAAGAATTAACACAGTGTCATAGGTCACTCACTCCCTTTTACGGTAGGTAATCACCTGTAAGTCATCCTTTGACGAAATATTCGTCAATTGCTCATTGTTCTTTAGTGCCTTTGGATATATAGAGAGAAAAGTATAGCATGACAGATAATGAATAACAAAATGCCATCCAAGATAAAACTGCAAATTCACCTTCCCATTTGTTCCAAAGAATCGAAGCTCTCCGTTTACGAGGCCCAAATATCGTGTGCTGTTTTGGCGAAACCTTAAGAAAATGGAACAAGCATTCACCCAACAGTCCTTGCAATGGAAAGACCTAATACTCGCACACAACTCACTTGAACTTCTTAACACTAGTCACAATCTGAGGATAGGGATCGACGCTCAGTGAGGAAGCGACAGTATCTTTGTCAAGATCAACTTCACTTTCACCAGTGACAGAATCACCTCCAAAACAACCAATGAGGGGATTTCCACCAGAAGTTCCAAATAACAACTTTCTAGTTTCTCGATCATACGAAACCGAATAGACAAAGGGATCCCTCCCGGATTGAATAACACTTTGGTTGCTAAAATATAATAGTTGAACAACTGGCAAAAAAACAAAACCGAATTCAAGGTTCAAAAAATGCACGCTATCTTATTGAATTACACAATGTTTAAAAAGTAGCACAGGATAAAATTGGACTCCCAATTTAGGGACTCTAGTAAACTCTACTAGTGTAAAATTACTCAAACCAGTGCTGCCATGTTTACCTGTCTATTGGAAATTAGGTCTAATAACTAAACTAATCCACCTTCCAAAAAGAACTGAGTATCGTGAAAATGAATTTGCTTAGTAAACCAGACCACATACCATGAAATCTAGAATTTCAGACACAAGGGAATGAATTGATCATCAGATAAACTTTTGTGCAATCTGAACCTAGGATCAAGTGATAGACAACTCTCTGGTAAACCGACTGCTATATTACCTCCTTTTGAGCCTTATCAGACCATTTCACCTACCCCCCACAGCCATATTCCCGTTTGGATCCCCCAAATTGATCGAGTCAAGATGAATCCCTTCTAACCCATGCATAATTATTATTGAAAAGTTATGCAAGAGTGAAGAGTTAGGCAATTACTTACAGCGAATAAACTGTGCTTAGTTTAGAGGCTGAATCTTCTTGTACATAAAACTCGTAAACATTGCCATTTGTGATTGCAAGTCCATTCATTTTACCAGATTCATCGACTTCTACCAGCAGATCATCTATAGCCCGAGCAAAAGGAGGCGCGCAGAATTCTACCTGACAACCATCTTCAATACGATATGCTGAAATTTGACCGTTGTCGCAGCCAACTAAAATGTACTTTCCACACGTTGTAATCGCTGTAACTGCTCCAGCAGCCTGCTTCTTCAACCCACCTATGACAAAGCAACGCAATCCCAGGAATCGTACTCGTGTACATTGATATCAAAGTTAAGCTGTTCACCAATCACTTACCAGACATACGACTGTCTGTACTCAACCTCCATAAGCAAACCTCACCTACACGATCATTAGAAGTGCCCGCAGAAACAAGAACACTTTTGCCTTCGTTTTCGACTCCAGGACAAAGGTGAATGGTGCTGCCGTCAAGGACATTCGCATGACCGGCAAAGGCCACGTTGAATTTCGGTTTGAAGATGTGCCTCGTCTTCAGGCTGAAAGAGCCATCGGGAAGCATGAAGCCAACCGTAAAGCTTCCGTATTTGTTGCAGTCCATCTTTTTTTCGTCAACTGTAACAATCCTATCTCTCGATTCTGACTCTGGTTCGTAACCAAACAGTAACCCTAAGCCAAGTTCATCTACAAGACGAGAAAACGGTTACCTTGACGACATATAGTTTATGATCATTAAGTTTAACTCAATTCAAACGAACCCGCTTCTTCAGAATCCATTTCCTCAGGCCCTTCCTCGTATGCACACACATTAATGTTCATCACGTTCAACTTTCCACCCTGTCTAGCCTCTGGAAGAATAAACTTCCTTTTACTTTCAACACCAGAATCAGTTATGTCCCAAATTACTGTTGTTCCATCGGTTGAAGTGGATATGAGGAGAGATTCCTAAGGAAAAGAAAATGCAGTCTCTCACAATGCAGATTAGAGAATAGTTTATGCATAATCCTTAGTAACCCACTTTGAAAGAAACAGCAATCAATGGTTGTGGATGCTCAGTTCCAAACCAAACTGAAGAAAGTGATGGGAATGAGTCTCCTGGAAGGTTCATAATTTGCCAAACTCCAAGTGCATGGTCATTTCCACCCGACACAATGACATAACGTTCAGAACTCTGCTTGAACATCGTGAGGCAAGTTATCCAGTCCATATGAGCCTGAGGAACGGAGTCGACCACACGCACAGGCCAATGTTGTGATTCACCGTCGAATTGATACAAAACCAGAAGCTATTTCGAAATAATAAATAGGAAGAATATGTAGCTCTTGTGGGTGCGGAAACGAGAAGAAAAATATCAAGAGATCAAACATTTCTACCACTGCATAACACCAATAAAAGGAGTTATTGAGCAATAACAAGAGATTTACAGATCTGTGCATAACCACACTGCGGTGCAGTC